GAATACTCTAACAGAAGGAATGACGGAATGACTGGGTTTCTACATCACAGTATGTATCTACCAGTACAGAATCCTAAAATCGTTAGTGCTAGAAGAGGTCTGAAAAGATGATCTAGGCCCTTCCCTCTCTTTGCAACAATGAAGAAACCCAGGTCCGGAAAAGTCAAGTGCATTTCTCCGAAGTTACATAGCATCGAAGCAGCAGTCCAAGGCCAGAATTCCTATTTCTAGGCTCATCACTGAGGTAATGTACAATGAAGAGCTAAGCAAAATGCATGCATGAGGGAGACATTCAACAAATGGGTCATTCCTCTCAGCGAGAAATCTGTCACAGAACGTTGCATGGCAGCTTTATGCATTAGATGTGATCCTGCCCATTTTACCAATGGAATAAAAAAAAAAAACCCTGAGATCCATAGAACACCAACTTGTCCACACCACACAACTGGATGGTGGCATTGGCCAGCCTGGAACCTGAAGCTTCTGGGTCTAAGTCTCTTGTTCCCTTCGCTATACCACACTGCCTCTCTTCTAGGATGAAAAGTGAATAATTTAATAATAGCACAAGATGATGTTACACAGCCCATATATGGAACAAGTTCTAGGAATTTTATCTGAACCATTTAACTGAAAATCAAAAAAGGCCAAGAACATTCTGGAACCACTAAATTACACAGCATGGTTGCTGAGCATCCAAATTCTAAATTTTTACCTGTTTGAGCTTCTTTCCCTTTGCTTCATGATACTCCACCCTTTGACTGCATTTCCTTGTGGGGACTGGCACAGGAGTCCGGCCTTTCAGACTAAACCTGACCAAGCACCTGCTTCTTCAAACGCCTCCCACCCCTCCTGGTCTAAGTTCAGCTCACCTACCTTCTGGTATCAAAAGCCAAATGAGGAACAGTTTTTGTTTGAACAAAAGAACCTTCTCTAAAGAGGGTTCAGCGTACCCTGTGAAGATCAGTTGGCTCAAGAGTTCTGCTCAGTTTTAGGGGCTGCCTTCTCAGCGTTAAGTTTCGGGTCAAAATGAATGGAAATCATCTGTCTTCAACTTACTGGGCAAATATGACATTATCCTATTTGAAGTGCAGCTTTATGATCTTCACTGTAATATTACTGAGTATTTATTTCATGGTCTCATCTACCTATGATTCTGAGACATGTATGAAGACAACCACAAAGCCTTCGTCCAGGGCTCCAGGTTATAAATCTCCTGCATTTGCCCTTGCGTTTGCCCAAGTCTTGAGAGATTAAAAAAAAAACTGTCACATTCAAGATTTCTTCAGATCCTTACAGCCACATAATGAAGTGGCCATTCTCACCGTTTTGCAGATGAACTAAGTGAACTCAAAGGATGAAGGGCCTTGAGCGAAGTCCACGCAGAAAAAGCTGGACCTGCCTAAAACTGCCTAGTCCTCCAAGTGCATGGGTTGGAAGGAGGCAATCAGTAAATAGCTGGGATGAGGGACAGGAGAGAGGGAAAGCTGGGGCACAGACACTCAGCATGGTTTTACCAAATCTCTGCATTTTGCTCCAGCCACTAGCTGCTCTTGTTCTTTCTGTGGAACCACGGTCTCATGCGGTAAAAAGGTGCCCTCAAAAATCTGTGAACTACTTAGTCTCGGAACCAGCTCCATATCCAAACAATGCCGTGGAGCAACAAGACAGTATCACTGACCAGAAGAGTTCAACCACCTCTCTCCACTTGCTTTGGCACAAATGGGTAACTTGGAAATGTGGAGAGGCAGGGCTTTCTGCAAACAGCTTTAGGTTTTTTTGGATAAGAACCTTGAGTCTGAAAGGGAGATGGACTCCAGTCATGCTCACTGAAAATGAGGCATCGACCCAAATCGACTTCAGGGTTCATCTCAGAACTTCCACATGGTTTTCTCACCTATGAAATGGAGACAATCTCTTCACGAAGGTTACAGCGAAGAGTACACACACTTGTATTAAGAGGCTAACAAAGCTTAGAAAGAAAGCTGTTCCTCCCTTCTTGCCTGGGAACAGCCTCCACCGCTCTCCTGTCACCTGGTACACCAGAACCAGTGCTCGGAAAACAGGAGGCAGGGCCTATTATGTAACTGGAAGGAAAACAAAATCAATTTCAGAAAAACTAGAGCACAAAGATTCTTAACTGTATTTATAAAAGCAATTAGTTGGCAAAGACAGCTGTTCAATGGGAGGTAAACTCCCTTCGGGGTTCTCGGACACCAGATTCTTTTGGCCTTCAAACAAGAGGGGACTTTTGTTTTTTGCTAAGAATTTCACATTCCAAGAAGGTATGTGAAACAAGCTCAACTGCTCACATATTTCCACTCACATAACACTTATGTAGCACATCAGCTTTTATTTTTTCCAGATACAAGGAGATGAAGCTTGGTATATATTCCTGTGAGAGAATAAACAGAAAACTATGTTTCTCTTTTTTACTATATTAGTGCCCTGTAATCCAGACCATATGATCCATAAACTATATAAAAATTAAACCATACTGACAATCTTAGGCAAAAAGTGAACCAAGAAGAAATAATTTTTTTTTAGGGCTGTTGTGTAGGGGATATTAAAATCACATGTTGTGTTATTAATTTTCTTTTGGAAGCCAAATAGAGTTCTCCTGCGTAAATTTCTCAAGTATTTACCTTACAGTTTTTCCTATTAAAGGCAGGTGAGGCATTAAACTAGTGATACTGTATTTTGGTCTATGCATAGGGGAGACATGGATAAGTCACTTTGAAAATGACTTTGTTGGCATGTTTGTTTTTTCTTTTTTTAATAGCAGGGCAAATACTCCTTAAATAGATAGCTATGTGCCTCAGAATAAAATGCAGTCTCCAGTTATCACCTTTTTTGGTAAACAAAATCATTTATTCCAACAGACCAACCGTGAGTAAACATAATGAAAAGCTAGGTAGAGAATATTAGCTTTCAGGGGACACAGGGAGAGTTGGGGCAGATGAAGTGAAATGTGCAAACATCCACCTTACTTGCACTGTCAATGCACAACACTGTCTCTGGCTAACCTGCAGCTGATAGGTGTGTCTTCCGGCCAATTCCTTCACACTTCTTTCCCCTTTAATAAGAATGCACCATCTATCGGGACTGCCTTCTGAAATCAGAAGACTGAAGAGGGGAGGAGAACAATGAAACTCTCCAAAGGCTGTCAGGCGTGTTTCTAGCTTTGCTTTCTTAATCACAAAGTAGGAGGTAGAAGGGTACTCAGCACAGGCTGTCTGGGAAGAGTTTACCTTACCACCAACAAAACACACCAGTAAACACTGGGAAGCCCCCAGACAAGTTTACAGCAAACAGTTTCAATGTGTTTAGTGTTCTCCTTGTACTCCCCCAGGACCAGGGAGGGCCTTTTAAAAATTCAACAGCTTGGCAGCGGACTTTAAATACTAATCTTCCCACTGTGCAGGATAATAAGCCCGCACGGCCCACAGGATGGCAGGCCCCCCAGTGACAATTCCTTTACATAGCATCTTAACGTCCAATTTCTATGAAGAGGTGGGAAGGGAATTTGCCACCTGAACTAGTCACCTCTCTTGCCTTCCACAGAGCACAATTTTACCCACAGCTATCTCCCGGTACCCAAAGGGGACAATTCTTATGTTTTAATAATTCTAAGTGTCCCATCTTCCTTTGACTCCCAAACGTACTACGTACAGTCAAGCCACGGGCAGACGGACCTCAGTGAGGACCTTGCTGCAGAAAAGATTCATGAAACACGAGAGAAGTGTAACTCCAGCCCACTAAGTCTCTGGTTTGCACAGTCTGCACGGACAAATCCATTTCAAAGGGGACTTACGTCTCCGTGCAGGAGTTCTATTTTAAGGGAACTGAATTGGGAACACAGATGTTTCTTCAGTTAGCAGAGTTGGCAGAACAGCTCCTGGACCAAATCCGAGTTCTTAATGCAGGAAGGGGCCTTAGGAGAGCATCTAATTCAACCCACTCACTCAACTGATGAGGAAACCGAGGCCCAGGAGGCAAGGAGGTGGCACGCCCAACAAGTGGCAGAGTAGCAGTGTTCTGATGACAAGTCCTGTGCGCTTTCCATTACACCATGAATCGCTTTAAAAAAAATATTCTACTCTGACTTCAACCTTGGAACTCCTGTAGATTCATGTCAATAGCTTTCTCCCCGCCCCCGCCAAGTTTATAAATCTCCTCACTCCCCGCTCCATTTTTTTTTTTTTTTTTTTAGCGCCCACCGCTCTTCGGGCTGGGGAATCCAACTAGTTTGGAAAACAGAAATGAACCATCGCCTTAACTTTCTGAGACTGCAGTTAATCGTGGTCCCCAAACACGATCCTGATCTTGGATTGCTTTCCGGGTGCCTCAGTTTCCTACTCGGTGAAATGGGGCTCCTCACCCAACCCACACGGAGTCGGGGCGAGGGGTGGTCGAAACTAAGTCGGTGACACCTCCTACCGCCGGCACACAGTAGGCGCCTAACAAGTGGTAGCTAAATGGGTGCCCGCATCAAGCCCCCGGGGCGCACCTTCCAGCCCCACCGGGGGGGGGGCGGGACGTGAGGTCGGGGGCTAGGGGGAAAGACAGGGAAACGCCAGCTCGAGTCCGGCCGGGCCGAAGCGGCGGGAGCGGAAGGGTTGGGTGTTTACACACAGGCAGCGAGGAGGCTGCGCGGCTGCAGGCAGGGGCCCCAGGAGATCCATCTTACTCGGATACCGGGCACCAAGCTCCGCGCGGGCTCGCGGTCACGGTTCCGCCCACAGCCCTGCGCTACGAGGCCGAACCCCACACCTTCCGCGGGAGCCTGCCTGAGCCTGCGGCCGGAGGCGGCTTCTAAGGGGCCGGGCTCCAGTGGCCCGGGAGAGCCCGAGCGCGCCCCACGCCCGCTTCCAGGCCGGGAAGTCGGCGGCCCGGGGAAGGGCGGGCTCGGGGCGGCGCGAGGGCTCCGGGACAGGGCTGGCGGGGGGTGGGGAGGCTCGGGGCTGACGGCGCGGGGGCGCGGGGCGGGGGCCCAGGCTCACCCATGAAGAGGCAGAAGAGGTCGAGGCAGACGAGCAGCACCCGCTTACTGCCGCCCTTCCTCGGGTTGTTGTTGAGCGCCGGGCTGCCGCCGTTCTTGCTCTCCGGAGCGATCGCCTTGTCGTACTTGTAGTTTTGCATGGCGCTGGCTGCGGCGCGAGCCTCCCGCCCCGCGAAGACGCCCGGCGGCGGCAGCCACACACCCGCGCGCCCGGCCCGCCTCCCGGCCGCGGCTGCTCGGGGACGCGGAGGGTCGGGCCCCCGCTCGCGGCGCGGCGCGGCGGCGGCGACGGTGCAGCCCACCGCGCGCTTCCCACTGCAGCCCGGGCTGTTTTCTGCTCCCCGCTGCTCCTCTGCGCTCCTCTCTCAGCCCCAAACCGTCCGCCAGTCCAGGGGGAGGAGAGCCGGCTGCCGAGCAGACCCTGCTGCAGAGCTGTGCTGCTCGGGGCGCGCTGGGCTGGCGCGTGTCCGGCTGCGCTAGCGGGTGAGTGGGCAGCGCGGGCGCCCGGCCACCTTCCTCGGCTGCTGCGTACTTAATGAATGGGAGCCGCTCCGAGCCCCGCCGCTCCGCAGCGCCTGCCCCAACTCCAACTTTCCCTCCTCCTCCTCTTCCTCCTCCTGCTGCCGCCGCGGCTGCTGTTGTGGTCGCCTGGGTTTGTTTCTGCACTTTTATCGCACGAGGTCCTTTTAAAGAGAGAGAGAGAGAGACAGAGGGAAAGAGAGGGACCTCCTTACTTGGCTCTGAAGAGATCCCGAAAGCACAACCCCTTCCTTAGGCTGCCTAAGACGTAGGATAATTAAGGCCACATTTTCCCCCACCCCCTTCAAAAAAAAAAAAAAAATCCTAAAAGGAAAAGTTACTCCCAAACCAGAGAATCCGGGAGCCCCTAGCGTTCAGAAACACCAAGTTGTCACAAAAAGAAAACTATAAAATAAAAAGAAACATTTTCTTGCTGGCCTTGGGTCGGGCAAAAGTTGAGGCTGTAGAGCGAACATGCGTTTGCATTTCTCCTCCTTTATAGATTTGGGGCTTTCAAGTATTTGTTTCGCTTTGAATCGTATTATCCTGAAAATACTCAGGGAAAAACGCTCAGCACCCGATACTGGGCTGGAGTCTGAGAATTTGAATTTGAGACACGACTCTGGAGCAGACCTTGTAGATTTGAATTCTGGCTGTGGCTCTGTGCCTCAGTTTCCCTATATGTAAATGGGGATATTAACTGTTTCTCCCAAATACAGTAATTGTGAAGACTGAATTAGTTAATCCATGTAAGCATCTAGAACAGTTCCGGGTACATACAAGTGCTATATAAGGGTTAGCCGTGACCTTTATACCTGTTTCTGAGGTGAAGGCGTCCCAAGCCCTCAAGCCTCTCTGCTGGTTCAGCTGGCCTCAAGCCTGCCCATACCACTATTTCAGGGGTTGGGGGGAGCCCAGGACGGCAGGAGTGCTCTCTGGAGGTATCATCTTTAGCTTGAGTTCTGGGGCAATCTAATGCTTTGCTTTAGAAGCTGTAATATTATTTCACATTATTTTATGTGAGTTCGTCTTTCTTCCAGACAGAATGCTATATAAACATTCCCAGGGCATGGGTCTTCCCCTATATCTTCTATATGTCTAGCAGAGCACTGGGCACTCAGTGGACGATAAATGGATATTTATTCCAGGTGTCTCTTTTTGTGCATCCAGAAACAGAAATAGTTGTAGGTTTTGATACTTTTACACTGACTTGTGATGGGGTTCAGTAACCACTATATCCAGCCACCATCAACCACTTGTCCTTTCTGGAACACTCCTTTAACACTTCACATCCCTGCCCTCCTACTCCCTCTGCTTATGATGCACCTCTATCCCTTCTCTAGCTAGCAAAATGCTTCTCTTGCTCTGGAGTGCCCTGAAATGTCACCTTCTCTCTGAGCCCTTTCTTGACCCTCAGACAGAATTAACTTTACCTTCAACACTTTGTTTATAACACTCTTGTGGCACTTATCACAGTCTGATTTGGCGTTATAGTTAGTAAGACCAGTCAGCTCTGTGGATTATCAGCTCCACAGCATCTCCCCAGTACCCAGCACAGGGTTTGCTGTCTGTTGAATTAAGTGCAGGTCCAGACTGGTCAACAGATGGGGCTGGCAAAGAAAGGCAAAATCGCTGTCTTCTGGAATCTCCAAAACAGTTCTGGAGCTGAGCATCAGATGCCTGTCAGACACCACACTCTCAGGTAAAACTAAGCCAGGGTAACTAAGAGAACAAATTCCTTAGATAGCTTTTTAGTGACAAACACCTCTTGAAATGTTAAAATAGCAGAAACAATACAATGTGATTATTGACATTTTGAAAGGAATTCAGGGATTCCAGTGTCTTTCCCTTGCCCACCCAACCCTCTTTGTAATTATAATCATCCTTGAAGTTCTAAGTCACCAAACCCTATCTTCGGAATTCTAAGCTAAAAGCAAATGCAAGTCTTCTTGAAACTGCGGACCCCTCTCATCTCCCCCCTTCCTTGGGCACCTGTGCCACTCAGGTGGCTGCTTATATTCCGTGATATTCCGTGATATACTACTCTGTTCTATCATTAGAATTTTAGCATTTCCTCCCTTTACATTTCCTGTCTGCTTTTCCTTATCCGTGAAATGACTTTTATTAATTTAAGAATAAACATTTTTAAAAGCCAGGCTTTTACCCTAGCTAAATGGTATTACAACTCCTCAGTCTAGTTGGTCCCTAAAGCCATTGGGTAAGACTGTTAACTTTAGCCGGCACTAGATTGAATGCTAGGAACCTAATACTCAGGTCCCCTGGATTGAACTCAGCCACTTAATAAGAAGGCTAAAGTCTGGTGTTCCAGGAGCAGATAAGGGGGGAAATTAATGGATGTTTAAATAAGTTTTATATTTCCATTCACAGGGTTCTGTGGGCTATTGTTTTTTCAGAACAAAAAGATCATAATGTTAATTGATGCATGTAGTTGTATGCAAACAAGTATTATATTTAGATTATTCTTCAAGGGAACAGAATACTACAGATACTCATTAAAATTGATTTGAACAAGTCATAAGCACAGTGTCAATATCGTTCTTCAGATAATAGGAAGTTAAACCATCTAACCAGACGCATAAACTGGAAGGCCTCTTTGCTTTAACCCTAAAATGGAACAATTTAACTAGTAAGTTAAATGCAATGGAACAGACTTCCATAGTTTAGAATGGTGTCATTTCAAAGTAATTAAGTAATTAAAATTCCTGGTACACATAGCTGACCAAAATTCACACCTGAAAATGGCATCCGGGTCACTAAACTAGTCTGTAGAAAAACTGTAACATCAGCGGGGATAAATGCCTTTTTCAGATTAACTTATTATGTGTGGTAACAACAGCGCATCGGTTTTTAAACAACTGATGCCTCCCAAGAGATTTAAATGGCTTTCATTTCACAGATCTCTTGTTACCTCATAATTTTATTTCTCTTTCTCTTTAACTCCTAACATTTAATAATTAATCATTTTTTATTTTTTGAAAAGGCCTGAATTGGCTCTGGAAATATTTAGGGGAAAGATAACTCAGTGCCTTTCTGGGAGAGTGTATAGTCCAAAGGTCAAAGCAAGCCATTGAAATTCACATAAAAAGACAGGTAAGTTTTGGCTCTGAAGTACCCATTTATTCAGTTTCCTTAAAACCCATTCGCTCCACCTCTGGTTATACTAAACAAAAATCACTGGCTTGCTTTCTTAAGTGCTGATTGCAGCATCCGGAGCGCTGCATGGGAGTGAAGAGAAGCCTCCACAGTAACGCACCTAAGAAAAGACAGGAAGGAGCAGGGGATTTGAGGTCTGAGTATCTTGGATCTTGCTGTTTGACCCCAAGGCAAGCTGAGCAACTTCTCTGAATCTCAGTTTTCTCAACTTTTAATTTCAATTTTCATTAAATTTCAATTAAATTTCCATTTTTCTCTGGTTTTGAGGACTAAAACATTAAAAATGAAAGAATACATTTTTAAAATAGTTGCTACAAAATAGGCAGTTGACGAATGTTAGTTGAATGTTAAGATTTTAAGCGAAGACATTTATTTCTACAATACACCTAGTTTAAATGCAGATATTCAAGAAGTGTTTATCAACTAACTCTGCATATTTAATTTTATTTATCCTTCCCTAAATGCAATGATACCTTGAGCTTCTTTATTCCTGTCTTTTTTTTTTAATGTGCAATTTCCTGAGATTCTGAAGTAAATCAAACATGCTTATTTTTTTAAAAAACTATTTAGTTACATATTGCTTCCTTCCGGATTGTTTGTGAAACTCAAGAAAAGCCATTTGCTTAAACTAATAATCTTGTACAAGTGAGAGTATGTTCATTTTAAATGCACTTTCACATCTATTATCTTATTCTATCCTTACAACTCACCAAAGTAGGTGGGGTTGCTTTCATTAGCCCATTTTATAGATGAGAAAACTGAGGCAAGCCCATTTAACTGGCTAGAACTGGTTTTCCCCGTTGGTAAAATGGAAATGATTCTAACCTTAGCTCATATGGTATAAGAGCCCTTTACAGTTTCTAAAGGTATTTACATTCACTGATCTCATTTCAAGTAGGTAAGCCAGGGATTGTTATCTTTGTTTTGGAAATAAAGATACTGAATTCTGGAAAGAAAGGTACTTAGCTTAAAGTTGGAAGTAAGGAGATTCCTTGAAGCACCACTGGAATGCCAGGTCTTTTCATTTCTAAACCAAGATTCTTTTCTTTACACCACAAGGTCTCACCCTCAAAGGTGCCCAGAAATTTCTGCTTCTCAACAGTGTTTTCACAGAGTAAGTTAGAAGGACTGCAGAATTAGCCTCTTGTCTTTGTTTAGAAAGCAGAGGTTTGATTTTGTTTTGTCTTTTCTTATAGACTTGGAAAGGAACAACATTGTTGCACCTTGTGTAGCTCATTATTTGCCAAGCAGTTATTTGTTACAACGCCAGAGCTTTAAGAACATAAAACAGGAGTGGTACTGTAAGGCAGCCTGGATTAATCTCAGTATTTTTATCTATTTACAAGCAGTCATCTTTTCTTTAGCTAGAAATTAGGGCAGTTAAGAGCTAACCTTATAATGATTCAGTTAATGTTGTTATTTAAAATAACAGAATCTAGAATGGATGGAGGAACTTGCAAATGGAGAAGGTGCAGTGTTTGTCTCTAGAACCTGCAAAACTGGTGCTGCTGATGGCTCAAAAGGAGACTGATGCTGCCACCTTGTGTCACTGTCGAAAACTGCTATGATTCCCAAGGAGTGAAATTGTCATCCACGGGGGATGGGAAATGGCTGGAAACGGAATGTAGAGATTTTACAGAGATTTTCCCTGATCCAGGGATTGGTCATTCATGCAACAGATGTGTTTAATGGGTATCTACTATGTACCAAACACTTCTTCTAGGAAATGGAGTACCTCAATGAACAAAGCAGACAAAAATTCCTGTCCTCATTGAGCTTTTTAGACCTCTGATTATTTTATATGTATGTACTCATTTAATATTC